ATCCAGTGGACAAGATGCCAACAAAGTTTGTAAGACGACTTCCGTGGTACAGCAACTGTCGATTAGCATCAGTGCTGAAAGGTTCAAATCGTTGTTTCTCATTTTCTCTGTCTATTTCGAAGATGTCAACAATCGAGGTTGGCTTTCTATATGAATTGGTTTCTTGATTGTTAATGAAGAACTCCTCAAGTAAATGGTATCTGTCACTCGTCTTGTCCAGTGCCGTGATCTTTGTTTTAAGTTGTTGGTAATGTGAAAACGTTTCTGCTTGTTCATCGAAATTCATTCCTTCGTCCTCTTCCATCAATTTCATGGCTTCCCCAACATCACACATTGTTTCAACCAATTTCAACTCCGTCTTGATCTTTTCATCGGTGTCGATAAGTCTCATCTCACCAGCAGTTAAAACATGTGGGACATATGTGTAGTACTTTGCAGTCAAGTCCTTCTTCATCACTTCTTTCATCTTCTCATCCAACTCGGAATCTTTTGATATCACATCAGACAATTTACTTAACACTTTCATGGCTTCTTTCATCTGTTCTATTTTAATTTTACCAAGCGGCATGTTCGCTACGTTAAGACCAGCACTCTTTAATGTTGCAGTCATCATACCTTTATCAAAGATCATTTTAATAAGACGGGCTACCCGAGCATCCAACTTGAACTCCGACGCTCTCTTTTGAATCTCAATCTTCTTCTCTTCTATCTTCTTTTTGGCCTCCGCTGACATCGTTTTCTTTGCATCAGCGTCGTCCTTTCCGGTGTCTAAGGCTTGCATGAAATAGCGCCCACCTTTCTTCTGGAAATTCGTTCTGTCGGCCCATCGATTTCCAGTGCACTCCTCAAATTTCGTTTCCCATTCTTTCTTCATTTCGTCGATGGTTCCTTGCCTTGTTGTTTCTTTTAATGAAGATCCAATTCTTCCCCATTGCCATATCATATGATATCTTTTCGTCCCGTTTCCTGCTATCTGCATGTTATATACAGAATTTGCACCTGTGTCCATATCAGTTTTTGATAATACAACGTTGTAAACAGTCCATCCATAAACAGGGTCGTCTTCATAGTAAACATAGTGGTATCCTTCCATTGAGTTAAGTGAATGGACCTTCAAAATTTCAGAGTCCGCAGTTGGCTTAAAAGTCTCTTTAACAATACCCTTGGGGGCATGGTACTTCTCTTTGACTATTTCAGTCTTCCACTCGCAATTCTCACATAAGTACTTCTCAGCACCTTCTTTGGTCCTCAATTTCATAAACCCTTCATTTCGCTCCGTAAGCTCGTCAACCCATTCCAATGTTAAACAAGTCAATGTCTCTTTTGCGTCTTTCATACCTGTTGTCATCTTTGAGGAATTCATGTCCGCTGACGTGGACAAACAAACGGAAGCTTCAGCTGCATTTTTAACGACAGTTCCTCCATATGACTTCACCATCTCTTGCCAAGCACTGATAGTGTCTCCTAACTCTTTCTTAGTGCCTTGTACAAATATACTCATTCCAATCAATTCTTTGTGGACAGGGACGTCATCCTCTGGAGTAGTATCATTTTCAGCTTTAGCCTCGGTCGCAGCACCAGTGGTGGCTGGTGCGTCGTCTTTAGGATAATCCTCTGGGAATTCCCACTCACTTAAGATCTTTTTCTTGTCTATTTTAGCAAGTTTCTCACCAATAGTTGCTTTAAAGCGCTTGATACTTTTCAAGTCCGGAGTGGTGTAGTCACACTTCACAAATTCAGTCATGTTACCATGGCAGACTATGCGAACTAAATGATTGGATAACATTTTACAATGGCATTGTGGGCACTCATCGAGAAGACCAAACTCTAACGCGTCGGCACAAGCATCTAATACAGTGTCGTTGTCAACTTTCTTGTCGAACTTTTGTCCATTCTCTTCCATTAACTGTCGTATGATTTTGGGAGTAACGCCAGAAAGTTTGTCGCGAGCTTCCCAAAACCTTTCATTGATTTCTTTGAATTCCTTTTCTTGATCGTCAGTCATTGGAAAGTCGTCTTGCATTTCCTCTTTAAGAGCAAGAAAGTCGTCCCATCTCAGTTTGTCCCATCCTTTTGTGGTTGTCAGTTTGGTGTTTTTAAAGGCGCTTGTGTTTTTGATACATTCGCCGTGATTCCATTGTACTTCTACCCCATCGTGAAAACGAGACTTGACTTCTTTGCCATATTTTAACTCACCTTGTTCAATGGTTTGACCACATGATTTGCAAGAACCACGACTCGTCTTCGAGTACTCAAACCTATAAGACATGTTCAGTGTCATCCCTCTATTATGTGTTTGTAGTTTTACAGCCTTTTATTATAAATCCCTACAATCGCTCCGTTTTTATTTTATTTTTGAGCGAAATACTCAACAGGGCATTTCTCGCCTGTCGAGTTTTTCGAGTTTTGAAAACAAGAAAGTGGGTCTTTTTATATTTGAACATTTTGGGGAATTATAAAGGAGTGGTAAAATTGAAGCGGACTGTGTTTTTGTCTTTTCAAAAGTATATTTCGTAGCCACACACAAACTCAAAGAAAGGGAAATCACAGTAATTTAGGAAATAAAAGATGTTCGGAACTGTTAATTAGTTATTCCTCAAAAGGGTATCAAGTAGTAAAAAAAAAGTATTGGGACTTTTTCCTGTTATTTTGTAATATAAAAGAGTGTTTACAAATAAATTTAACACACAAAAATGAATATTTGTTCAGGGGTATAGTTTTTTTAATAATTAAAGAAATCGTTCAATTGAAAGAAGTGAGGGTTTTTGATCTTGAACATTGGTTCATCAAACATGATTACGGATTAAAGAAAAGAGCTCAAAAGGGTGAACAACAGTATTCTTATCTCGATGTATTATATTAGTGATTTATAAGTTTGTTGTTTAAATCTAGATAATAAATTAATTTTATTAGGATTTAATAAGTTTTATTATATAAAATAGTTATTAATAGAAGTAACATTTTGAATAATTATATTGATATTTCTTTATAACAATTTAAGATTTTAATGAATGTTTGATAATCATTCAATTATAAATGTCTTCTTTAATGATAATTTTATAAAGGTGTTTATTATTGTCGAAATATGACTTTTATATCAAATACACAAAACAAACAGTACACTTAATTGTTTAAAAAGTCATGATCGTTGTAATAACGAGTTTATATTATTTATGAACAAAAAATTATAATAAATATGAAGTAATATTTTCACAATGAATGAAAGTGGAATCTACACTATTTTTGCACACCAATTATTTAGAATATAAACATTTAAATAAAAAAAATTATTTATATTATCGTTTTTTAATTTGATAATTTTATCAAATAGAAACATAGATTTAGTGTTTCATCCAAATTATTTTACATTTGAATGTGTCAGTCATTTTATATTCTTAAATAAAAAATTGAATATTTTCTCTCTATACTTATTGAAAAGAAATGAAACTACCAAATGAAAACTTGTTTTAACTATAACTGTATTAAAACAAATTGATGGAGAATTAAATAATACCACAAGGTGAGTTTTGCCAATTGCAAAAAAAGAAATCAAACTATTTTATAAAATGTATCGACTTTCTTCTCTCAATCAGATATATATTGACTGATTGGCTAGTTTAAAAATAGTTTTTGTTTTTTATTATTTGGATCAAAACAGGCGATATTTTTTTCACAATTCGAATCGTTTTTCCATTAATTTTTAAGGAATCAAAAAATAAGTTCTAATAAGGTGTTTGTGATTCAAAATAACCAAACCAAAAAGAAACACCAAATCTTTCAATTACCATTTTCAGATGTTTACATCTACTGCTCAAACACTCGGACTTTTGCAACTCTCCTCAGAAACTAACTTATTAAACACATATGATAAAGAAATACAGTCCGGAATTGTCAGTCTGATCTGCAAGCAATTTTTCTCGATGGAGACAGACATCAAGCAGCACTGCACTTCCGTCAACCACATTTCTTTTGTACTGGAAGTCATCGCTGCTGGGTTTAAAATGGATTTGAACTTCTCCGACCTCATCGAACAGTGTATAGACCTTTATGAGTTTGTTTTGTTTAGTCTTTAGAACACACCGACGTCAAATTTCATTTCTCCATATAGCTTTAATTAGTGGTGCATAACAATTCCATAAGTTAATTTATAAGTCGATAGAATTAATAGTTTTACCATTATAACTTTATTATATTATTATAGTTTCAACGTGTGACTGAGAATCAGGATGTGGTTTGTGCAGCGACAACACTTACCAGAAATCATTGAGAACAATTTTAGTGAGTATCTGGAGACTATTTTATTGCACCTGACACTTGTATTCAACCATGCACCGTCCACCCCACAACAAAAAGCATATGAAACATTATGCAAAAGAGTGATAGGAATTTTCCAGGCGTTATATCCCACCATCAGAGGGACGAAGACAGAAGGCGTGTTTGTAAGAGCGTCTGTTGCTGTGATGGAGGATGCGTACAACGCACAAAACTATATTGTTATATCAGAAACAGTGAGATTTTTCCATGTAATTTGGGTCGCTTTTCAAACTTCCGACACATTATTATGGTATGTGTTACATAGCAGATACACAAAGTGGATAATCCACCAATCTGTAGCGACGTCTTGGAAAGAAACGCTTCTCACAGTCGAAAGGGGGCTGATCTCGCTTTTGGAGGGACAAGATAGTTGCATTCTAACAGCGGCAACGTCGAACTTTGAGGTGAGCTCTACGTACCAATCGACGTACTTACTGTGGTTCTTCCTCAAATTTCTTCGTTTGTTGAATGATATATCTTTGTAGATGATCGATGAGTCGTTTATTCAATAACGAATAGATTTGGGAGGTAATTTGTGTGATGTTGAGAAGGCTGATGTTCATAGCAGCTTATTGCAAGCCGTAGGATCCTTTGTTGATCTATTGTTGCCAACCACATTAAATGGGAATGACATTTTGAGGTTTTTTTGTGATGTGTTGTACCAAACAGTGATATACAAAGACCACAGAATTTTTTACAAGTCGATCAACACTGCACTGGTGATATTTACAAAAATTCTGATCACGAAATACCCGGTCACTACGTTATCAAATGAATACATGGTGAAGGTTGAAAGAGTACTCTCGAAATCATTGAGTTCAATTAACATCCAAATCATATACTGTGTGTTGGAGTGTTGCAATGTTTGTTTACTCGTTGTTTACGCATTGTTTGGTGTGGTGAAATCGCAACTAACAAATAGAAATTGATCAAAACACTGCCAACGATATGCACGTATCTCTACTCTGAAATTTTAAGCGCGATGAACCGTATTACGATCGAACCAAAAGGAACGACTTCGGAAATTCGACCTATTGCAATTGAGTTGCTCACTGAAATACAATTTGAGATGACTTCACAACGAAATGGATTGAACGACGGCAATAGTAATACATCATTGATGTCGGACTTGATGGATATCAGTTTCAACTTACTCACGCTTGACCCTGAAAATGCAGATGGCGTGTTTCTGGTGTTAAGTCGATTGATTGTGAGTATGTGTGTTCTTAATGATGGGTTTGTGTTGGTCAACAAACTTTTAGACCACTTTCTAAGTCTTCTTTCTGCGAATTACACGGACTGGTTTTCGAAAACAAAAGACCCTGAAAATACATTGCTGGACTTTTTTGAAGAGGTTGCGAGACACGCCAAGCAATTTGAGTTAAAAACGGTCAAGGCGATATTTGGACTGATTCAACAGTTTATCACGTATCGAATGGACTCTTTGGATATGCTGGATCCGATTCTTACTGTCTTCATGTCGTTTTTCGGTGTGTGTTACTTGTCTTTGTCGAAACAAGAGTTGTTGTTTGTGAGAGATTTGATGGACAAAGTTGCGAATGCTGTTGGTGGAGATGTTTCCCGGTTGTCTGGATTTACTTTTGACATCAAACTCATGAATGTGTTAGCACAAACGTACTTCAGTCGAAATCTATTGAACACCACCATTGACGAGAAAATTGTTATGTGTGAACTTCAGAAGAGAAATATTGTATTCAAAGACCAAATCAGAGTGTTCTATGTGTTTGAGAATGCGATCATCTCGTTGATACAAGTGCCATGGGTTGAGAACACGGTAACTTGCATAGTCAGAAACCGATACGGCAAGAATGTGTACTGCTTTGAGTATAATGACGAAAACCATAATTGGGTGATGCGGGATTTAGTCGAACAGAAGGTCGAATATACCGAACGACCAAAACGGAAGTTCAATCCGACGTGGGCGACGGACGTTCAATTTTTAAATGTGTTTGAAATCGATAAGAATGCGACAGAATGTTTCAAAGAGAAATACAAACAGATGGGAAGTGGCGTGTTGGATTTGCCAACAGTAATCACAGAAAAAAGATGGGAAGAACAGGACTGCAATGTCCTTAACACGTGTTTCCTCCAAAGGATGCTGAGTACTGTGATGAACTTTAACAACTTGACACAACCGCCCGTGGAAGTGTTATTACCTGGCGAAGAGTTGTTTGATAAATTACGAGGACTCGACCATGTGTCGTGTATACCGAATCTGGATGTGAGTGTACAAGCCCAAAAAGTCACTCAAGAGTACTTAGAATTTGTGAATCGACTTGGAACAATCGAACGTGTTGATGACGGAGAACATACATTCAATGAACAACATTATTTGAATGGAGGATGTCAGTTGACCTATCATGTTGATGTACTTAATAATGAAGATACGAAAACACAGAGTGCGCTGGAGCTGTCAAGCTCCCCGAAGTTGAATGACAAAAGTGAACTGAAAAAAGTAACGATTGTTTGGGGAGGGTCGGAGGATATTGTCATGGAAAATACACCAAATTTTGTGATTCAAATTATTCCAACGACAAGCGAACTCTTCTTGATTCGAAGTTCGAGGAAGGTTGGGATCTTAATTGAAAACCAGTTGTGCCCCTTCGAACTACTACAAAACCTGATTCAGTCAAGTCTTCTGTCATACACATGGAAATGCGAGACTCCAAGAAAACTATTTGAGAAGAGAACGAGAAGACTGTTGGAAGTTGCGTCATACCTTGACACCGTGTACACGTCAGTCACGACACATTCACTCTTCTCGGCAGAATTTATAGTCAAAACAATTCCTGTTGATTTCAGAAACACGTCAGTCATTGAAGTACAACGACCGAAACCACAAGGACTAAGTAACTCCGCTTCACAAAAGATGTTCAACGGTAACTCTCCGTTAGCACCGAAAGATTTATCTTCAAAATCACCATCAAGTAAAAGTCCGTATAATCATATGAGACGTAACGTCGAGGCTAATGCAAGACCGAACACACTGGCTTCACCTATGGAAAGAAAGTTCACGACATCCCCACAGAAATTGGTAGAAGAGTTGGTGCTGACACCAAGTTCTCCTGTTACAACGTTCACATCTGGAAGTATCAACACTGGCTCAACCTCTCCACAAAACGTGAATACGAACACAAGAGGAGCTTGGGGACAAGTAACGTCTGATGGAAAGAAAACCCAAACAAGGACACCGACTTCGAGAAAAACGTTTATAGATGGGTCTAAGAGGAGATCTTTAATACCAAGAAATATCGCGACGTTACAAAATGAAGTCAAAAAGGATGACGCGAAAGTCGAAGGAGAGAAAACAAGCACAGAAAGTAAAGAAGAAGTCACTCACGTAAAGAAAGACCCACTCCAGAAAAGAACTCTTGTCCAAACACAAAGCCAATCAACACTCCACACATCACCTCCAGCTGCTGTACAACAAATGGAAGTGAAAGCACAAGACGACCAAAGTAAAGTTGCTCTATTCAAGTCACCAACTCACTTGCAACCACCCACTTCAAAACTCTCGTTACCCACTACAGGTCCAAATCAAATTGCACCACTCCCACCTACTCCACAAACACAACAACAGACACAACAACCATCGTTGCAGAGAAGAGCATTCTTTAATAAGAGAGCAACTCAACACCAATCTATCGATGGTAAGTGATCCTATTTTTTTAGAATATTTATTAAAACATTATTAACTATTAACTATTAAAAATATTTATTTATTTAACACGTTTCTGTTTCCAAAGACATTTTAAAACAACAAATTTTTTGCTTTACCAATCGAATTATTTTGCATTTTTGTTTTTAAACAATTATTTTCAATAATATTTTAAAAATCAATACTTATCTTGAAATTATTAATTATTGTAAAAACACCAAAAATATTAAAAAACAATGAAAATAAGGTCGTCGATTGTAACACTGTTGTGTTTAAATCGACAATCGACACATGATTTTTGACTTGTGGGTCTGTGTCATTTACGCGCACGTTTACGCGACCCAGTTTAATGAATATTAAAATGTATTAAATTAAATGTATTGTCCGTAGTATAAGTGTTATGCCTACAAAAGGCATTGTCGCGGAACACATTTTATTCTTTGTGATGTGTGTAGGGGAAAGGTGTGCGTAAATGAAACATAAAGACCAATTAAAAATATGGGTTGATTCACAGAGTACTTTATTATCTCAAAAAAAGTTAAGAAATAAATTAATTAATAATAATCTTAGTTGTTTTTGTTGTAATGTCTTATTGTTATTTTACTAAGATCGTTGCAAAAAAATGTTGTCAGAAATGCGAACGGTTATTTCAACTATTATTTCAAAAATAAAAAATGCAAAATTTAAAAATTTTAACAATAATTTTTTTTTATAAAACAAAAAATAAATGGAACGTGAACGTGTTAAAGATGTGAAGTGTTAATAAGGAATGATTATGGAGAATGAAAACTTGAAATATAATCAAAAGGAATTGAAGCATTAATCAATTAAATCGATATATTGGCTCTTGATATTTTGCCTCTTGAAGTAAACAAACCCAACGACCGCCACTGTTACCCCCGTTAACACAAAGAATATTGCTAACAATATTTTGCTTGAACCACTCTTTTTTGCTTCAACTTTCTTTACAAGTTGTGTTTGAGTATTTGTGGGTGTCTCTTGAGGGTTAACAACCTTTATTGGAGTTGTTAATGTGGAAGGTTGATGGTGTGGCTGTTGAATGACTTCTTCTATTTGTTTAATTGGTTTATGTGGGCGTAATAGTTGTGTGCGTTTCTTGTTCTTTTCAATCTCTCGAAGTCGTCTGGCTTTAGTCTCGTCAATCCATTTCTTACGTGAAACAACACTACTTGGCGCCCAGTGGGGAACAGCTCTCTCTTCTATGAGTCGACTCTCCACCGCTGTTATCGATGAGGGAACAACATCAATAAACACTTCCGCTTCTCCATGAGAGTCCCGAGTCGCTTCAGCAACTCTCACTGTTATTTTCTTCTCGTTTTGGTCGACATTTTTCCACTCGACAGAACTCTGAGCTTTGTCGACTTTTTTTAAGACCATTGTAGCAAGACATTTACTGTTGTAAAACAAATTTTCGAAAACACTGACTTTGATGTCAACGGTTGTGAGCGAATTTCCAGTTTTGATAATCACTTTGTCCCCAATTGGAACGACTACATTGTAATAGGCGGCAGTGGTCTGCGCGCCTGTTAAATCGCAATGGTCAGAGGAATGGTGACACTCATCAAAATTAATGATCTCTTTAAAGGGTGTTGTGATTTGTTGTGCGTTTTTAATATCACTATGTGACAATTTGGTGTTGGAAATGGGTCGTATTGCAAAGGGTAAATCCGTCTTTTTCATGCCAATGAGTTGAACGATGAGTTGTCCGGGGTTGGACTCAACTGTATATACTTCACCGTACCCAGAAGGGCATTTTGTCGTGGCAACATTTTGAGTTTGTTTACCACATTCTGAGTAAAACGCGAGTTTGAAATTGTGGGGATTTGGCGAACAAGTTTTAATCACAAAAGTCGACCTTTGTGACACTGAAAATCTCTTCCAAAAGACAAAGCTTGAACCCTCTTTGAAAAAAGAGTTTTTGTTCATCGTAGTGAAGAATGGGATTGTTTGTATTTGCGCAGTAAAACAGACACTCCCCGGCAATCCAGTTGTCGTAGCGCTCTCTGTCTTTGGCGAAGAAGTGATTTGTATTTGTGTTGAGTATCGATATACCCCATTTGCAAAGAGAGCCAAATAATATACTTTACCGGCTGGTAGAGTGATACTCAGTTGGTTCTTGAAGTTGGTCAACTCCGTCTTTTGGTCGCATGAATTAACTGAAGTGTCTGTTGGGCACATCGTTGAGATTCGAACAAACAACGAAACAGGAGGAATTGTTTGTGACGTTCTAATAGTTAAATGGGCTTGCTGAGACAATTTGTTGTGAAGCTTATACCACACCGTGTGGTCATTCATCGAATCTCCACACCCCGGAAATGACATCGATTGGTGTTTGTTGTTTGGGACCTCCAATGTAATTGTCTTCAACGAGTCTGCTACGTCGATGTCGATCCCCTCCGCATTTTCACATGTAAATTGCTGCGAAAAAACAGACACAAAGAATAACACAAGGAACATCTTTTTTATAGTTCTTTTTGGTGATTTTCAGTTAGTAAACAGCAAAACCAAAACAATTATTTTTACTAGAATTAATACATTTTAAATCTATTACAATTAAACTATTTATTATAGTTTCTTTTATTATAATTGTAATCAAAGAAAACGATGAACTCAAAAGTGAATAATGTCCAACTGGTTGGAGTCGTTAAAGCAACTGTCATTTGATTCATGGGCAGTTATGATACTTTGGGGGACTTTGTGTATGTGTGAGGTCATACTCTTTGGGTTTTCAATTGGAAGCTTTTTTGTATTGACCGATAGTGTACTGTCTTTTAAACACGAGAACGACAAAAACTTCCAACTGCCAGACATATTTTCATTGCCCTCGGAACAACTGACGCCATGCGAAAACAACACCGATTTGTTCACACCGATTGCGTCTTACTACGAAACATATTTGTTAAACTACTTGCACTCACAAGGGATATTTAAGAATAGGTGCATCCCAAATATCACCTTCGACAAAACACAAATAAAAGAATGCGTGTCGACTTATTGCAATGCAAATAATGACGATTCGGAGTGTGCACTCTTTTTTAATACCAATGGGACTAACTTCATACCAGCACTTTTGGCACATCTCCCAACGTGTCATGTCAATTTGTCTTTTGAAAACAAGAAGGGAGAAGTGTACGATTCTCTTCAAATCAAAATAACGCCAAAACCAGATTCGTTAGTCTTTACGTCGTCTTTTACGGAAGTCAAAAGGCTGTTACTCATCTACAACACACCACTATTCATCACATTTGACAAATCAACAATAAGGCCAATGCATAGGTGCGACGAAAATGAAAATGCGGCACCAGATTATATGAACACAAACGCACTCACAAAGAACGGAAAATACCTTGCAACCCCAACACTCCAACCAACTGGCGTTTTTCAGAATTCGCTTGTCGTTGGGTGGAACGATGACACACTCGGATTTGTTTTAAAAGAAGCATTTGGACACTCATTTGGACATTCGAAGTTGTTTTGGGTTGGCGAGCGGTCACAATGGGAGGACATCGGTGCGTGTGGTGGAGATGGCATCGACTACTGGATACCACTGAACACTCAAAAGTATCCCGCCGAGTCGTTTGATGAAAGCACAACACGTTCTACAAAACTGAGAGTAAGAGAGGAGGTATGCCGAAAATATTATAATAATAATTGCAGCCTAGATACAAATAGTATTTACTATGTGTATATTGATGATACTGGGGTACCTATGTTTGAGTGTGTGAATATCGTGTTTGGGATGTATAACTTGGGAGTGGTACGTATCTCAAAAGAAAATAATACAACCCAATGGGAATATACTACAATTATGGGGTTCACTATTGCTATGATGGAAAATATGTTTGAACCAGAATTGCCAATCTTAACAGATAAAGCTGATGGAGACTGTGGATTTTCGTTCATGACATACGCAGTATTAAGAAATTTGTTCGAGCTCCATGAAGCTTCAAAAACAAGCCCAGTGGTTTGTGTTTCATATAGTTGTTGAATAGTAATGTTATTATAAATTATATAATTTGTTTTAATAAAGTACACAAGATGATTGATGGATAGGGGTTTACTCGAATTGATCTTGATTTCGAGTTTACAAAAACGGTTAGAGACGACCTGTGGAATATTTGTTAAGTCTGTTTTGTTCAATTTTACTTTGATATATCTATGATATGTCACTTAACTTTCTTTCAACCACTTTCTTAATAACTCGTCTGTATTTAACAATACAATAAACTTATTAAATATTTTATTAGAATAAGTTTCAATTCTTTTTACTTTACTTTTAATATTTTGATTACATTTCATAGATGATAGTATTATATTAATATAATATTAATATTAATATATATTTTGGTAATTCAAAAACGTCAAACTACGACCCATTGATAAAAATAAGTGTACCACTTTGAAATAATTTAAATAAATTAATAAGTGTACATAAATTAATTCAAAGATTCAAAAATATTCATTATTTATAAAGAGCTATAAAATCTTTAAATAAAACCCATTTGATAAAGTCTGAAATTTACAAGAGAAACAAAAAATCACTTTCATTTGGATGGAAATAGTGTCAACCGCACTTAGTCAAGCTCTAAAGTACTTTCATTACTTCATGTACAGCTCTGCGCAGTCTGGGTTCTTCTTTGTAATGAACTGTATAGTCGGTCTTTCAGCGCCATTTTTCCATCAGAAACTTGGTGTTTCTTTCGAAACGATCAACTTGGTCATATGTGGTGTTTACCAAATAGTCATTCTCCTACTCCAACCATTGATTGGAATGATCTCAGATTACTTCCCTCTTGTTCGTTTTAAAAGAAGATTTTTATTAGTAATGGGAACAATCACATTAACTGTTGCGTTACCTTTAATAGGGTTTTGCGACGTTATTGGAAAAGCTATTGAAAACGTTGATAATGACAACTCGAGTTCTAGTGTAGCTACTGGATGCACGACGATTGTTGGTGCTGTTATAGGTTTTGTCTTTGTATTCATTGCTTCAATTGGATACTCTTTTATTCAATCCCCGAGTAGGGCTATCATCATCGACATAACACCAAAAGAAGAACAAAATTCTGCAAATTTCATTGCTTCAATGACTTCAGGTTTCTCTGCGGTGTTATTCTACTTAATAGCAGCCATTTTCACGATTTCACCAAATTATTATCCTTCAATGTTTCTCCTTTCCACTATTGTCATTGTACTGACAGTACTCATAACGTGTCTCTTCGCTCACGAGAAGAAAAGTACTGAGATCGAAAATTTGGAAACAGAAAGTCCAGTAAACGAACAAAAGACCGAAATCGAAAGAACGGGATTTTCCGAAAACTCGAAAATTAATGAGAATATTGCACTTATATCATCAACGAGTCCAGACAACACAAATAATAATAAACTCACAATGTTTGGGAGAATCAAAGAGGTTTTAACACCAAAAATACTATTATTATACTTCTTGACATTCTTGTCGATGACTGCTTTCGGAGGATTGGGTATTAACATCTGCAATTTTTACTCAACTAATTTATACCATGCAAGTCCTTGCGACGAAGAGTACAATGTTGGTGTGTCGATGGCATTGTATGGTATGGCGATCATGTCCTTCTTCCAAATGATTTTCTCTGTTGTTCTACCCATCCTGAAACACCAAAATTTTGTGTTTGTGTTTTCTCTTGGTTTGGCATGTGTGTCGTTTTGTGGGTATATTATTATTAATGAGTTGCAACTGGAAGAAACAGCTATGGACCCCTGGATGCTCTTCTTCTCGTTTTTGTGTTGTGCGGGAATTGGGATGCTAGGCACATGCTTATACTCTATTCCATTCATTTTGATACACAAATTATCACAAAAGAACCACATTGGTATTGCTATATCAATTTTAGTTTCATTCTTACAACTTGGAATATCATTTGCTGGAGTTGCGTTTACAATGCTATTACTCTTTTTCGATTCTTTAGTCGTTGTGATGTACTTTTCCGCAGTCGTCTCGTTCATTGGAGCTGTTGCAGCATTTTTCATATTAAGATTTATTAATCCAAATTGACTGTATGTTATATTTTATAGTTTATATATCTATATTTTATATATTTATAATTTATAGTTTATATATTTATAGTTTATAGTTTATATATGTATAGTTTATTATTATCAATACAAAACTAGTCGAATAACAACAAAAGCAATTACTTTGAATCACTCAAACTATATCCCAGATAACCAGCCAGTCCAAAAACATGCAACACTATAACTGCGTTTGTTGCGGTTCGATCACAAACGATCCACAGTGGAACGTGATGAACTTTGAGCACGTATAGAATAGTTGTACACTGTCGATTTGCTTATTGAGGACACCTTCAATCATATACCTGTTGTTCACCATCTCGTCTTTGACAAGCTGTAAATCTCCGATGTCTGAACTTGATAATTTCATTTCAAAACAGTTGAATGGTTTTGTGGGCAATTTGAGCTCGATAATGTTGTCACTATTGAATTTGAGGATCCCAGACACTTCATCATTGATGCTACATTTGAAAGATGGCTGCACAGCATACACTATTCCAAGCACCCCAAACCCTAAGATCAAGAATCCCAATAACGTCGTCGACACAAAACAGAACGACAAATTCATGATTTTGTGCAAAAAGATCAACAACGCAACTAATGTCAAAGCAGCAACGGTCAGACCAGCCGCACTTTGAAACGAAGCCGCACCCATCACAACCGAGAATGTCAAACAGAGCAAAAAGAGGAATAGAAAGATCGATATTGTTATGAAGTGGAATGTTCGCCACTCCCACACTATTCTCCGATACCGCACCATCTCCCACAACTCTCGCCACTTCAACACAAGCGAGAAATAAATTCCAACTGTTGTAAATATGAAAAACCCCCATATCACATATTGATCTTCATATGTGAATGGAAGTATAACACACATCATCGTCATGATAGCCGCAATGTACAACACAACAGGCGCCGGCCCAAACGAGAACATGTATATCGGCTCTTGCGCCTTTTCAATGCATTTCTCTAACTCAATTTGGTCTTGTTTCTGCTTCTTTCGTATTTCATTGGCAAGGTCAAGAGCAACGGAAACCCGCTCTTGTAAACACCCAAAATTGCCGTCTTCGGGCGTTTCGATTTCGCCAATCTCTTTATTCAGCTGTTTCAAACTCTCCACCAAGAAGGGTATAATACCCAACACGTCCACACTCAAAGTCCCCGTCTGTTCATCGGTATGGACCAAATCGGGTAATACCTGCTTCACCTCTTGTGCGACAAATCCAAGTCGCATTTGTGGCGAATTTTTGTACTTGTACTGCTTCCCAACCAACTGCGAAATACTCTCAAGACAGTCAGAAAGTGGTCTGATATGGCACTTTGTTCTTTCGTCGGATCTTACAAAATACCCGTTCTCAGCAAGGACTTCTCCATAAATGTGGAGGCGGTGTAATGTGTTGGATATGTTGTAAATTCGCATGAAATCGCCCTTCTGCAATTCATTATTTAATATCTGTTGTGCGTTGCTTGCCTGGACCTCCATAGAGTTCACAAGAATATCCCAGTCGTTGCCTTGTCCAATTTGGATTGGTATTGAAAGGGGTTGAACCTCCATGGAGTTTGTTTGTTCTGCCGTTGAGTTTGTTTGGTCTTGTGAATTCTGGTAGTTCTGTTCGATCATCATAGGCTGTTGTATAGGCAACACACCCTGAAGTGGATTCTGTTGTAATGGCTGTTGCATGGGAATGACATTTTGGATAACACTCTGAGGCATTTGCATCCCACTTTGAACCACATTTTGTTGCAACATAGGAATACTGTTTTGAAGCAAATTTTGTTGCATTTGTTGTTGGATTGGAACTGTGTTTTGCACACCAGTGGTATTTGTTGGGGTCATTTGATACTGAAACTGCCCCATTTGCATACTGTCAAATTGGTTGTACTGTTCCATTGGTTGTTGTTGGTAAGCAGAGTATTGTGTGTATTGTTCCTGCGCCATCTGTGGGAGCATTTGTTGCATCTGAGGAATTGTTTGCATTGTAGTTCCCATTGGGCTAAGCAAGTTTGTCATCGTAACTTGGGGGTGTGGTGGTACTGAGTTTGAGCTATTATTCGAGTTATTCACCGTCGCGTTATTGATTTCGTTTTGTTCCTCATCATCTTCGCCGTCATCTGCGTCGTCTTGTTGTGCCTTCTTTTTATCGGACACGAGTTGTGTCATGTACTTTTCACACAATTTTTTCACCACGTCTTTTTTCGTCACGTTTTTGTAAGGGACGTCCTCGTATACACCTGGTTGAGTTTCGGTCAAAACTTTTCTCAAATGAGTATCCCAAATATGACTATACAAATTATATCTACCATATCAGTATTCCTTTAAAACGATTTCTGTGGACGTTTATTTATAAGTAATTAAAATAGGAACAAACCGTGTTTTTAATGGGTCGGAACATCCTTCAAATGTGCATTGCCAATTTTTCTTTCGGTGTTTTCTCGTCCGTGGAATTTCAGCGGAGTCCACTACTATTTTGGATGGGAGTTTTGATGTAGGATTGACTTGCATCTCACTGTCTGTTTATCTATTTTTTGTAGAAATCATAAATGAAAATAATAAAATTATACTAAAATTTACTATATACGTACTAAATTTCATTCAATAAAACTAAAAGTTGTTTAATAGTATTATAATAGAATTTGTTTTAGATCAACTTTGATGTAACTCAATACAACTTAAAAACTCATCCAAACAATTTGTTTATGACTGGGGCGCCACACTCGTCATAATCTTCCTTCTTAATTGTCAAATTGCCATAACCGGTCAATAAAGCAAAGACAGAGCCCCCATCCAATTTCCAAACTTTCTTTCCATCATTGCGTCCACGCGTATTCGATTTTGAGGTGCAATTGTTTTCAACTCTTTCGAAAGTCGATTTTCAAAGCCTGCAAATAGATTTGCAGCACCGGATAACACAACATTCTCGTATAAGTACTGTTGTGTTTTTTTGTCGCATTTAAGGACTGAATTATACACGGCTTCATGTACACCAATTTCTTCTGAATTCACAACAAAAGGCATGAAAAATGCTTCGGTACATTTAAACAGTTCGTTTCCTAAATCCAATACTCTTCCGTCTGGAAGTGTATATTTCTGGTGCTCCACTTGTTGTATTTTTTCATTATAATCGAGAACAACATACCCCTTTCTTTCTTTGATATCTCTTGCAGTCTCTTTGTCTATTGTCGTGAATTGGGTTATTGTGTTTTCATTGAGCATTGTTAAAAGGTACTCATCAATTTTCTCACCTCCAATACGAAGAGTAGTTAGTGACTTTTCAATGCACTTTCCATCATCAAAAGATAAACAATGAGAAGACGACAACCCACAGTCCAACACCACTCCTCGTGTTCTTCCTGTTATACACAACCCAAACAATTCTTGTAATGCAAAACAAAGTGATGGAACTTGAAAAGTCTCGAACATCACATGTGATGTCTTTACTCTTGCAGCTCCGTTGTTGTTTGGAGACTCTGAAAGAAGTACTCCTTTCTCTTTTGGGTTAACAAACAAATCATTAAAGTGTGTCTCCCATATCTTTTCCATTTCATCGAAGTTGGTGATTACTCCGTCATGTATTGGGTATATCAAATTGTACAAATTATGATCGACACGTCCTGTGTTGAAGTCAAAAAGAGCATTCGCCACACAACACCTGTTATCCAATTTTGAATATCCAACCACTGTTGGAAAGTAAGACCGAGGTGCTTCATCACCAGCAAATCCAGCTCGTGTAGAATATGATCCATTATCAAATACAATTGTACAACAGTCTTCTTCCATGAGGTATTATATTATTTAGTTTATAAACTAATAGTACTAATATATTATTATTTTTAGCAATAACAACGTGGCAATGCTATTACATAGTTATGTATTCTAATAACTTAACTATAATAACTTAACTATATTCACGCATTTTTAACACTGAATTTCTTATGATAGAGAACAAGGAGCGTGACTCAAAAGAAGGGCACTTTTCGATGATATCTTCGATGGTAAACATTTTGATATCTATGATGCTTTCCAATTTCGGACAATCGTAAAACGCTCGCTTTTGTATTCGTTTTACATTTCTACCAACTTGTACCGTCTTGAGAAGATCAAACCCCGAAAAACAGAACTCCCCTATTTCATCAATCTCAGGTGGAACTGTGTAACTTGCTGAGATGTTGTCTTCTATATCCTTTCGAGTCAGAACATCAATAAGCTTACCCGTTTCGTAAATACACACATTTTCATTATGAGTACATCGGTTTATAGACTTTTCTACAGTAAAATGTTGAATGTTTTGACACATTGTGTGACTCAGTTGAATCACTCCTTTCTCTTCAATACTAATATTTTTCAATTTTTCGCATCCCTCAAAAATTCCCAACATCAAAAACACCGAACTTTCTACTTTGACACTCTCTACATTGATACAATCCAAGAACGCACCATATCCTATCTGTGTGACAGTTTGAGGTATTTTAACATGACACAACCCCCGACAACATGAAAAGCACATTGTTTCTATGATTTCAACATTATTCAAGTCGATTGAGTCGAGCGAATAACATCTCTTAAAACAGTTTCTTTCAAGCACTTTTACTGTGTCTGGGATATTGACTTGAGACAGACTGTAGCACTCCAAAAACGCTTCACTGCAAATCCGAGTGATTCCATTTGGCAGATTTATTTCTTTCAAGTTCAAACACGAGAAAAATGAGAGCATGGGAAGTTCTTTAATGTTCTGAGGTAATATGATGCGCGTGAGCGAGAAACAGCTATAAAACACACCTTCCCCAATCGTTGTTACTGAATTTCCAATAACAACATCTTTCAATTCCGAGCAGCTGTTAAACGCGAACTTCCCTATTGTTACAACAGTGTTTGGAATCTCTATGTGTTTCATTGAGAAGCAGAAGTTGAAACAGAATTTGGGGATTTTACTGACGTTCGAGGGAATTGCAATTCCAAGAAGTGCTTTACACTCTGTAAACGAAGTTTTCTCAAATGTGGATAAATTCCGACTCAACACCACTTTCTCGAGTATCTCGTTCTTTTGAAAAGCACTTCTGTGGAGTTTTGTGACACTTCTTGGCATGACATAAATTTTCGCGTGATTCGGCGCAACGAAGGAAAGTGTTTTTAAATTTGGAGGTGGGACCGGGTACATTTCAAAGTCCGATGAAATGTAGTCGATGACTGGGCACGCTATTTTAAACTGATGAAACATTTGTTCCTCTTGGACACTAACAGCTCCGTTATAACACGTCAGCCCTTTAATTTCTTCAATGTTGAAACAGTCGATAAACACATTTCGAGAGAACACAATGTCATTGCCATTTTCAAATACAATAGAACGAAGATGCTTACACTTCATGAAAGCCTCTCGACCTATTTTCCGAACTGTAGAAAAGATTGTTAGACTCTCTAGTGTAGTGTTGTTGTAAAATGCGTGTGATCGAATACGAGTCACATTCGATGGAATCACTAATTTCTTGGATTTCACCCCGCTCATGCTTTTCCTCCACAACTCACATGTAACATCCTGTGGTACCTCAAATTCTTGTTTGTCTTTAATGATATTTGAAACACATTTTTTAGTCATAACAACTTGATTCACGTAATTTCCCAACTTCTTGTATATCCGATTTTCAAAGTACGTCGCTTGTATGTTTGCCTCTTCATTACATTGCAATGAAGTCAATTTGTCGCACAACAGTACCGCGTTTTTCCTCACATTTTGAAGTCTTGGCGCGATTATAGTTTCGAGTTTGACACAATTGCAAAAGGCGTTTTGTCGTATGTTACTGACGCCTCTCATTTCGACGTAAAGAAGTCCAACACAGTCTTTAAACACACATTTTTCAATTTCTATGACGGAGCTTGGGATGGTCATCGAAGTCAGAAATATGTTATTTTCAAATGCGTTTGACGATATTCTTGTCAATGAAGTTGCCAAATATATATTTTTCAAATGAGGGCATGACGCAAACGCTTTTTCCCCAATTGTCTCTATACCGTCTCGGAGCACAATGTTCTTCAGATAGGCATTTGCCTGATAGCATCCATTGCCTACTCTATTGCAAACGGTTGGAATCGACAACCTGTCGCTCTTAAACGACGTTTCTCCATTCATCGAGTTTGTGTCGTCGACATCCTTTTCTTCGAAGTTATAAAACATTTTGATGCATTTCGGTATATTACACTTTAAAGTAGTGTACTCGCTGTACGACAACTCGCAACAAAACTCCCCAAAGTTGTTTGTTGGGAAATTCAGACTTGTTAAGTTGGAACACCCCCAAAACGAGTTGGTTGAAATGTTCATCATGGCTGAAGGTAACAAAAGACTTTCAAGGCTGACACACCCTCTAAAACACTCGCCGTTGAGACAATTCAGTTTCGACGGTATTTTGAGTGACTTGAGAGAGGTACAATTCATGAACGCCTTCTCCCCAAACAGTGTGATGTCGTCATTTAAAACAACTTTTGTGAGTGCGCTGCAGTCTTTGCAAAGTGCAAATGGAACATTTTTGACTGGCGACCTAATAACAACGGACTTCAACCCTTCGCAATACCCAAACAGTTGGAAGCCGATCTCTTCGACGTTCTCTGGAATAACAATAGATGTCAAACTCATACAATTAAAGAAACAACCCGAGCCAATTGAAGTCACTGATGAGCTTATCACAAAATTTTTGAGTTTGGTGCATGACTCGAAGCATAACAAAGGAAGACTTTTGATGTCTGAGAAGGTGAACTGCGTCATATTGAGACAACTTCGGAATGCCGATGGTTCTATCTTATTCACTTGTGAAGGAAGAACAAATGTATCGAACTGCGAATTTTCAAAACAATTTTTGGTGATGATGGAAACTTCCTTTGGTAGAGTTTTGAACGTGTTGAGTTCACTTGCTGTTAATGAAACTTTGTAGCACTTTGGCTTTGGAATTTGCTTTTGTTTATCAAGATACTCAGTGTATGTGAGTGGATAGTCGTAAGCAAAAAGATCGACAAATGGGATGTGTCGGTCGTTTTTGGAGTAGAGGTATTGAGTTTCAATTCGAGGAAAGAGCGTTTGCGATGTGATGGGAATCGGGTTGTAATGAAACTTTTCAAGTGTTTCTTTGAACTTTTTGCATACACAAATAACATTGATGAAATCGCATCGGTATAAAAAGTACTTCGCGACAATCAGCAAAGAATAGCTGTCGAGTTTGCTCATCAATTTGCTAATACTTGTTTCATTCTAATTCTCAAAAAAATCTCAAAATTTCTGTATTTAACTATTTAACTAAAATTACTAAATTAAAGAAAATGGTTCATTTTACTCATTTAAATAGATATAAAATATAGTACTTTTATCATAGTTATAAATTTTGTTATTTCAAAATCAGGTAATTTTTTTAAATCAAAAACTTGGTATTCTCTAGGATTTGCACCCAAAAATTTTATTATCAAAAATTAGTATCGAAAAACGCTATTAAAACGTTTTTTTCCCGTTTTATTAGCTTTTTTAGATACTATTTTTTAATAATAAAATTCTCGGTGCAAAGCCAAGAATTTTTTTATTGTCCTGATTGTTATAATAAACCATATATTATAATAAAATTATAAAAGTGTATTAATAAAAGAATTGTTTTCAATGTATTATTTATAGAAAACAGAAATAACATACAACTGATGATATTAACTCGCCGACGCACCTAATCAGAGTGTCCAAAAAACGTCTAAGTCCCAAGTTAAGGAAAGGTCAAAAAAACAAATTGATTGTTTTGATAAACGAACTGATTAAAAAAATAAAAATAGATTATAAAAACTACAATCACCACAAAAACTATCAATTGGTTTAAAATTTTATTTTTTGATAATACAACTTAATAAACAAAAAAATAATTGATATTTGTTGGTTATTCAAATACATGTATATATTTGTCTGATAAAAATTAAACCAATTAAGAGTAAAAATTTATTACCCAAGATACATTATTCATGCGCATCAACACATTTTTGCGTTAATAAACACACAAATCATTGTTTTTTATTGATGTAAACACAACCAAAAACTTATTCACTTTTCTTTTTGCGCGTATTGATTTTTATCACAGTAGATGTTGCATATTTCAATTTGAGTCTTTTATTTACAGTTGTTGTTTTCATATTAATTTTTGATGAATACCCGTAATAAGAAAAAAGTGATTCAACACATGAAGAGGTTGGAATAAGACATATTAAAACTTGTACAAGTTGAGTCAAATAAGGAAATGTTGCTGTTCCAAATAAGTCAAGCGCATCAAGTAAATTAAACGTTTCAATAGAATTTTCCTTTAATAATTCATTTATTTTATTTCCATTTTGTTTGATCATTAATTTAATTTTTTCAAGTTCTGAGTTAATTTCAAAAAATCCACTTTCAACTTTAATTTGTTTGTTTTTTAAATACCTTTCAGGGAAAGTAAAACAATCAATGAAAGGTTGTAAATTTTGTTTTTCTTCTAAAAGTAATCTGACTTCATTTAAGTTCTCTATTTTTGCACCAGTTTTTGCAGTCGTGATATTACAAAAACGTAATTTAAGTGCATCCAAAAATCCACTAATCACCGCTCCACAACCACATACTAAATCATTTGAATCAAAGTATAAATATTTTAATACATTTGGAAAATCATCAAATATACCCATTGAAATATCATATTCCCTTTTTTCCATGTCAAATATCAATAAATTTATCATATCAATTTCATCATAAATCATGCCAAATTTTTCTTGCATTGTATCACAAACGATTTTCGTTTGTTTCAAAATGTCTAAATATAAACCCAGAAACGACAGAAACAACGGGTCTTTTAAGTCAAACAAATCTTTTCTCTTTCCCATGAATAAATAATATAAATTGTTTTTTTTGGTTTACTATTTCATTATGTTTTTCAATAAGACAATTAGTAATTGTTAAATCATAACCTGTTATAGTAATAAAATTGTCCAATTCTAAAACATTTTATAAAACAAATTTGACCAAATTTTCATAGAAAAACCACCTTGTATTTGACAAAGTGGGTATTTTACAAAACTTCACTCCTTTTTCACTTTCAAAATTATTCCATTCTGTAATAATACTATCAGAACATATACAATTTAAAAACTTGAGTACAATTTGACCATCATGAGTTTTCCACAAATAACCTTCGGCAACATTCAATCTATGACACGTACAATAAAAAGACATATAAACATTTTCTATTAAATCAAAATCTTTTGTATTATGCAAGTTATTTTGTAATTGCAATTCATTTTTCATTTTAATCATTCTGTTTTTGACTTCTCCAATTTTAACTCCATACCCATTTCAAGACTACTCATAACACTGGCCCCATCTTGTGTGGAAAATACCAATTTCTTTATTGGAGCTTTGAATGTTTCTAAGTGATGTAATACCCATTCTTTTAAATTTTCTGAATTGGTCTTCTTGTGTATTTCTCCAATAACAAGAGTGACTTGAGCAACAGAGAGGTCTTCAAAAGCAAACCTTCCTATAAGTCTCAGAACTTTTTACCTTTCTTTTTAGTGCCGTCAAACGCCAAAGAAAAGCACACACAGTTCATAAAATATCTTTCTGTTTCAACCATGTTTTCATTGCTTAATGAATTTATTATATTTATTGTGTTGTTGTACGAAATGTGTATATTTTTCATTAAATTGTTATACACACTTTCATCCATAAATAAATTTGCAAAATTGCCAACTATGGTTTCAACTGCTTTGATTTGTTGTTTCGACATTGATGTTTTATTTTCAATTTCTGTGGTGGAAACAGAAAAAAATTTACTTAAATACACGTTGCGTTTTTTTCTTCTCTTTTTGAATGTGAAGTTGACCTCAATTGAGATTTTAGCTCTGAAATAACATTTTTGAAGTTTTGTCACAACCAATTAGTTTATAGAAATCAGACACAAGTTCATTCTTCGGAAATGAAATCACTTGGTTTTTATGTTCTTGTTCACTTTCAAAACAATTATTTTCATTTATTAAGTCCGATTGTTGTTTTATTATTTTCAAAGTTGACGGAATTTGAAGTTTTGAACGGGTGTGATAGGTTTCGTTGATGTATTTTTTCAAAATAGAGTTTTGCCTTTTCAATGTAGTTTTGTGTATGTGTTTGAAAATCATTAAAAAATAATTGGTTCTTCGGTTCTGTATATTTAGAACAATACATCTTGTGTTTTAAGTTGGTCTTGTAAATAAAACATCTTAAACAAAATAGACAAAAGTAATAAGTTTTTTTTGATTTCATATAATGGTATTGTAGAGTACTTCTTAACACAATTCAATATATTTTTTTCCTCTTTTTAAAGTTGGGTCGCGTTTGTTCGGTGATTTTTCCATTGATTTTTTAGATCTTGAATATTTTTATTAATTATAATTAAACGACAAGAACAAACAATTAAAAGATTTAATTCTCATTTATATCTTGAAATTCTTATTTTTCTTATCATTTTTATTCAAAATTTCTCATATAAATTATTTTTTTATATTTGAATGTTTAAAAATTTCAAGTAATATGGTAAGTCTTTTGTTATTGTTTTAGCTTGTGTACATAAACGTTTTGTAGATTAAGTAATTTGCTTAACATTTAAACTATTTTTATTTTTTTATTCTAAATTTGTTGGTTTTTAATTTAATATTTCGGGAAAAATATACAAACAAGATGTTATGGATTTTGTTGTAAATTATCGGGATAAATTATGGTTATTTTTGTCTCTTTCAAAAATCAATTATTTTTTGATCAAATCGATCGAAAATCCAATTTTTTTGTCATTTTTACTCCAAAATCCTTAACTTGGGACTTAAGTGCATTTTTTTGGACACTCTGACCTAATCCCCAACAAATCAATACTGTTAAAAAGAGCAGTGTTTTTGTTTTTTTGAAAAAAAATTATATTATACAGTGTAGTTCAATTATAGTAAAATGAAAATGGAATAACGAGTTCAAATCGTGAACTAAAAAACAAATAAAATGTGAAAAAAATGAAAAAAAAATATAAAATTTCATGACAAAAACGTAAAAAATGGCAAAATAAGAATACTGGTAAAATGTAATAACATTTATTTCAAAACAAACAAATATGTTTTTTATACACTAAACAAAAAAAAACTATTGGTTTTGAGTTGAAATGAAATACAAATTGCAAAAGTACCATAAACACATCAGTGATAATTAAAAAACACACAAAATATATGTACACACAATAGTCTTTATAAAAAATATAAACTGTTCAAAAAACCCATTTTATTAACTGTGTATTTTTTTCAGACAGTACGATGTAGCAAGATTTTTGACTGTTTTTTTCTGTCTATAATATATTTTTATCATCTTTTGGTATTTACCATATTGTGAGTAATCTCTTGGAGAGTGTTTATCAAAAGAAATTAAAATATAACAAGCAATCATTAAAAACAGTTTTTAATGTCAAAGCTATTATTAATTTAATAACAATTTCCCTCCATTACATATAATCCACATATTTTTATATTGTTGTCTAACTTATTTTCAAATATATGGACTGTTTAACCAATTGTTTGTTGTTGACTCTTGATATTTTGATGTATACAGTTACTTATTTTAATAATCTATTGAAAAGAGTGTTTAAAATGAATAAGGTAAACCATAACTCTATTTTTAATTTTTCAAACAACAAAAAATCAAATTTCTTTGTTTATCAATGCTATTTTATTGATTTATTTGGTGTATATTTTTAATTTTTGTTGTGTTTTACATTATGAGTAATTTATCTTTTTATTGTCAATTAAAATTAAAAATTATTATTATTATTTATATTTAGGTCGCTTGATAATCAATTGCAGAAACATCACTGTCTGTAAAAGCGATGCATAATAGATTTGTTTTATTGTTATATTATTTTACAACTATTTCGACTCATAATTTTCACTATAACACAAAAGCGTGTTACTTATTGTTAATAACAACCACTGTTATCAATTTGCGTCATTCAGTGAACATAATTAATTATATTTTTTTATTAAGACTATTATTATTTATTTGTTTTGTCAAACAAGAAATGGCAATTTTCACATTGGTTATGTGTGCTTTTTATCATCATTTTTAGATTTTATGAATAATTTTCTCAGAGTTGGCATATAATAGTCTATCTCGATAAGATTAACTATATTTTATTATGAACAACCATTTTTATTAGTCATTGTTTGTATTTTTATATTATTAAAATTTATATAACTTTCGAGCAGGACAAAAATTCAATTTAGATATTAAAACTCCTTTTTGAAATTAAATACAAAAAATGAATATTTAAAAACTATAAGTTATTACCACAATCAATCTCAGTTGATTTTACACAATGACACTTTCACATAGAGATTGATTCAACTCATAACTGGATTGAATGAGTGACATTTTTAAATATTCGCTGCGTTTTTGGGGTTTCTTTAATATATTTAAAAGTCCAAATTTGTTGTTATAAATTAATTGTTTCAAAATGCTGCATTTAAGTTTTTTATTGTTGAATTGTGTTGTATTTATTAAATAATAAATCAAATGATTAATTTGATAACTTTCAAATTTGCTTTCTTTTATATTTGCCAAACATTATTTTCAATTACAAAATCAAACATCAAGTGGTCGCAATTGACTGTTTATGGGGTAATACAACCACAACAACAAAACTGTGTTATGTATCCGAAACGTCAATTTTATTAACATAAGTATCAAAAAATCAACCATTGTTCGAGTTTACAAATATTTTTAATTATTTTTTGTTTTTAATTAATGTTTTAGAAATGATACAAAATGTTTTTTTCAACTTGTAACAATAAATATTATATTTTACTATAATTTGCTAAAGCCGACTTTCCCCACCAACTCTTTATTATTTAGGTTGTAATTTTTGTTCTGTTTTGTTTTTAAATTTTTATATAAAAAAATAAATGCACAAAATGATTTTTTGGTATAAAAAATAAATAATTCCATTATGGTAATTGTAAATTATTTGTTTTTATTTATTTTTTCAGAAAAATCACCTAATAATATTTCAAAATTATTTAAACAGTTTTGGGACAAATTTTTAAAAAACTGTTAAAAAGAGCAGTATTGGGTTGTCGGCGAGTTAATACTATTTATATTAATTAATATATCAATTATAACTAATAATATATTTATCAATAAAGTATAGTTAAAAACGACAATTGGGTGGACTATGGTTGAACTAACCACAAAAGAGTCAGAAGAATGATTAAGAAATTTTTGCAACATCAGCGATGAGTTGTGCAAATTCTTGCGTTTGGCATGCTGATTTAAGGAATGGGTGTCCAAGGAGTTGGTCTGAAGTTGCTCTATTTTCCGGAATAGTCTCCAAACAACTTCCGACAAAGTTGTTCATCTCACGACTCCATTTGTCTGCGTTTTTCAATGGTGGGATACCTTTTGTTGTGATCAAGAACAACGCTCTGAGTGGTGGGAATTCCATATAAGCTAAATGATTAGTATAATTATAGTATTAAATAGTAAATACAAAACTATTCACAAAACAAACGAGGATCTCCTTCTGCCATTTCCATGACCATAATCCCAAGTGACCAAATATCGATTTTCACTCCATAGTCATGCCCACGGATTAACTCTGGAGCCATCCAATATGGAGTACCAACAACAGTACTTCTGTTCTTTTGTTTTTGATTGAGTTGAGCGGCGTATCCGAAATCAGCCAGTTTGACCTTCCCGTCGTTAGTTAACAACATATTGTCCGACTTGATATCTCTGTGAATGCAATTCAAGTTGTGAATGAAGTTAAGTGCTTGTAATGTTTCTCTGCAGACAAAGGCGATATGAGTTTCGCCCATTTGAATGGTGTCGTGGTTCTCTAATATATCCGTCAAGCATCCCCCGTCCATGAATTCCATCGACATCCACATCAACTTTTTAGCAGGCAAGTAAAACGCCTCATAGAAAGTGACGACGTTGGGGTGTTTACATCCTTTCATCAACGATATTTCTGTCGCAATCAGCTTCTCGTTGTCTTGGTTGACTTCCATCTGTTTCAAAGCAACTACAATGCCGTCCGCTTTTCTCTTCGCAGAGAAGACTTCACCAGAAGCACCTTCACCAATCTTCTCAAAGTCGGAGTAGAAGTCACGGGGGTCTTGTTCGTTGGTGACTTCCTTCAAAGTGACCTTTTCGACGTCTTCCGGAAGTGGGTCGACCATTGCCTTTGGTTGTTTAATTTCGGTCGATGGGGGCGGAAGGTTTTTGTCTTTCCCAGTGGACGTGTTCTGTATTGTAAAGTTCAAGACATCCTTCACGACTTCTCTGTTTTTGTTGTAATCTTCCATAGTAATACCACCGTCGGTTAAGTACTTCTCCCACCCTTCTGGAAGACCAATGTACCCAAGATTTGCATCGAAGTCGACATGAACAACTTGTTTCATCCCATCAGGCCGTGTCAAGGAAGAATCGATAGTATTGTTGATTGCAGTGACCCAACGCTCGGCTTGGTCTTTACATGGAGCGTTAAAGATATATTGCTTTTGGAGTTGTTTGGAGTCGACTTTTATGTACGAATCTCCCATTGAAGTCAATAGGGAGACTACTGTCCGCTTGAGAGGGATAGTCAGAATGGGCGAAGTCTTAGTCGGGTTGTCGAAGACAAAAATGTCCGTCTTTGTTAAACGGACCCATTTCCTTTTCCAACTTTTCATGATCCCGGACTGCTTCGATAGATACCCCTCGAAGACCGAGTTGGTCCAGTTATTCTTCATGTCATTCTTTTTGTTCATACACAAACAAAAACATATAGAAACAAACGGTTGCCATTTTGGTTCTGATTTATTAGTTCATTCTTTTTTATTCAACTCCTCCTTGTTTTGGGACAGCGATGGCATTGCGTTTTTTTGGTCAACTCTTGGGGAAGTGTCAATTACTTCTTTGCCACTTTTTTTCATTTTTGTGATGGGTATTCAAATTTGCCATTGTTGCATGGCACTTTTTGTGTGGTTCTTTTTCTTAAGGTTGAATCAGTCCCGCGTTTGAGTCGACTTTCATGCCACTATTACACTAATATTCATTTACAATATTTTCTCATTATGTATTATTTAACTTTTCAAACTATATGATACCTATAAAATAAAGTTATTATTTGAAAGTAATTTATTTCTAAAATCAGTAACTTGTTTTTATTATGAGGTAAGTTGACACAACAATTGATTTTGCTTTTTGTATTATTAATAATTGTTATTATAGTCCCAATATACTAATTTTATTATAATATATAATACAAAATAAATCATTGATACGAGTATGTATTATAATTTTATTATATTTATTAAAACAAGCCTATTTCATGTTTAACAAATGAATAAAAAAATGAACAAAACTATTTTAAAATGTTCATCATTTTTATATTTTTTAAACTTTGAAATTTTCTCGATTTATAATTTAAAAAAAAGTTTTTTTTCTTTATTAACACTTAAAATAACGCCCTTGTTTTTGTTTTGGCCTGTTTTTATGGGGATATTAATCCATTTTTTAATGATTTTCCTTTTTTGGCTTGTGTATTGTTTATGCACATAATACAATCTCTAAAAAATGGAAATTTATTTAATAAACTCGAGATTTCCCGATTTTTAGACCACTTGAATTTTGTTCAATGTTATTTAAAGCGTTAATAATTATTTCAATTTTTTGTTAATCTGAATTTAGTCAATTATTAATTTTTTATCAAGTTATTTAATTTAGATTAATTTTTTTGATTAAAAATAATAACATTTTTTTGTTTTATTATTATTTATAAATTTATTATAGTTTTAAATTTATTATTTTTTGTAATTTGAATTAAATAAAAAATGATAATAAAACAAAAAAAATAAAACTCAAACCAAGTTGTTTCAAAATTTTTTTAACAAATTTTTCTTTTAAAAAATCTATAAATGGAATAATTGGAAAAAAATAAAAAAATAAGTGTTATTATAATGAATTAAACTATATATGATAATATTTTAATTATACTGATGTACTTCATAATTTTAACAAACATCATTTGTAACTCTATTGATCTGTGAATAATATACCCTACGATGTCTAAAGACGTTTATTGTGGAATAGATTTGGGCACCACTTATACTTCTGTTGGTGTATATGAGGGTGGTAATGTCCGATGTTTGACTGATGAATTTAATTCAAGTTGTATTCCCTCATTAGTTTCGTTTACAGAAAACGACTGTAAAGTTGGACGTCCCCCTTTTTCATGCACATGTGTGATTCAAGAGATTAAACGGTTTCTTGGTAAAGATTGGGAAGATTTAAAGTCGGATAAGGGACTTAAGAGTCTCCTCGATAAGAATCAAAATGATTACATCGATATAGAAGGGAAAATTGGGATCGGTATTGAACGCCCTACAAACAGTGATGAAATTCGAACACTTTATTTAACTCCTGAAGACGTTTCCGCAATCATTTTACTCAAAATCAAACAAATTGTATTGAGCAAATACCCTGGCAAAAATATCAAAGCAATCGTTGGTGTTCCCGCCTCTTTTGGCGACAAAGAGAAAGCTGCGACACAAGCTGCAGTTAAAATGGCTGGTATTGAGTTAATTCGAACGGTCAATGAACCGACTGCTGCTGCAAGAGCGTACAAAATGAAAGAAGGCACCCTCTTTGTATTTGACTTTGGTGGAGGAACACTTGACATCTCCATAGTAACGTTTAAAAATGGGTCATTGAGTAAAACAGTGACTTCAAAAGGAGACCCATTTTTAGGTGGTAATGACATGATACT